AAAAAAAAAAAAAAAAAAAAAAAAAAAAAAAAAAAAAGTTGATCGGTTCTCCACCTTTAAGAGTACAAACGTTTAACAAGAAATTATAAATAATTATATAATAATATATAAATATGATAATATTAATGATAACAATACTGATATAAAGTTCTTCTGTACGTTTCTGTCAACGCTTCTTCATTTTTTTTTCCCCCAATTACGCTTTGCTTTCCTCTCCTCTCTTCATTATACAATGCCTCTGATAATAATGAATTGCGTTCATTAGGGCAGGAAGATGATTGAAAGAAAAGAGAAGAATAAACAAAAGTAAAGAAAAGGGAAAAGAAATTAAAACTCATGCGGACGGATATATTCCATTTCTCACAGAAAGAGACTTTAGAAGAAGAAAAAAAAAGTAGACAATAATAAAAATAGTAGAAATCGCAGGAACAGTGGGGATGGAAATAATAATTTCTTTTTTGATTTTTTTTTTTTTTTTTTTTTTTTTTTTTTTTTTTTTTTTTTTTTTTTTTGTTGTTGTTGTTGTTTTGTTAGTTAAAATATTATTTTATTAATATTATTCGCTTTTCTTCATTCCTACTTGGATTCTCCTCGTGACCCCACACACGGGGGAGGTGAGGTGAAAAACAATGGCCGCACAAGAGTAGCAACGTGAATCCACATATTCACAGAAAAGTGTATAAATTCAACGCACTACATACAATAAAAAAAAAGGAAAAGAAAAAGATGAACCAACACTACAGCCAATAGTTTCAATAGTAACAAGAACAGCTGCACAAAAGAAAAAAGGAAAAAAAAAAAGATATCACAACTTGAATACCAATAACATTATTATTACTAATAATAATAATAATAATAATAATAATAATAATAATAATAATAATAATAATAATAATAATAATAATAATAAAAGAAGCGAACATTAAATATAGAATTACAATCAAAAAAGAAAAAGAAAAATGGGGAAAACATATATATATATATATATATATATATTATGGTATTCAAGCGTGACGACGACCTTCGAAACGAGCGTACAGAAGTTCATTGTTTTCGTTCATCATATTAGTAAAATCAAAACCAAATGGAAGCCAAATATCAATACTTGCCCGTAAAACCTCCTCAACCTCCACGTGAAGATTTTGAAGATCTTTCATGAGTTCCGTGTACAAGGAATCACTCTGCACTTGTTCCACCACACGATGCATAATCTTTTCTACATCTCGTTCTAATTCTGTGGCACTCGATATATTCTTAACCTGTTGTTGTGCACGTTCATGTCTTAACTCGCGGAGTTTATTTAAGGCACATTCGGCTTGTTCAGCTACTGCTATATTAGCACGTACAATATCACGAGGCATATCGGCAACAGGAATACAACCAGAAGCTTTGGGGTTTCCATTCTTTCCATTTTCCTCCGCTATTACTACACCTATATCTGGTGCGTACGGCCTATAAATATCCACCACAATCTCAGAGAAAATCTTAAGTGCATAACGTACTTTAGCCTTGGGTGAGGCCAGAAAATCCACAACTCCCACACGTGATGTGGATGGCAAACGTTTATTACTACTAAAAGCACTGTTAAGTATTTGCAATAAACTCGTTGGGGCTCGTTTCAGCTGAACAACAAGATCCACACTCATTGGATCATTGACAAAAGGCACTTTAACAGGTCTAGGTGGTACAAGAAGTTGTAGAAAACTCTGCGCAATAGAGAGAGCACCTTCTTTAGCAGAATCAATGTCTGTCACATCATTCACATGTGGGATAGCACAATCAATTTCCACTCTAGTATCAAATACGGCCAATGCATACAGGATATTGCGTACCTTCATCATTGTTCCCTCTGGAAATATGGAATTTGAAGAACTTAAGGAAGCACTTTTTTGTGCATTATTTACCATTCCATCACATTGAGCCATGCGGTATAAGGCATCAAATGCATTGTTACCTATTTTTGTATATCTTAAAACCATATCTGGCATTCCAATAAACTCACCCAAACTTCGGGCTAAAGGTTCTACAATATGTTTAAAAATATAGGCACGTTGATCAGCATTACTTAACAAATCAATAAATGGATCAATAATAGGAATATGTGTTGGTGTAGTAATTGTAAAATCAACGACAAACGGAGTACAATTCTCCTTAATACTGTGTACTTCAGCTGATGGGGCTATGGATACCTTTACACGTACATCTAAGGAGTGTAAAAACATATCTACTGCACCGGCGACAAATAAATTTTCAGTTTCTTTTTTATTCCAAGGTGCATCTTTAACAGCTTCTTTTGCTGTATTAATCAATTTTTTAGCCCACTTTGTAATAACCTCTTCTAGTTTCCCTCGAATATCTTCTTGATTCGTTATCTTACCTCCAGTTGTACTTTTCATATCCATAACCAAAGAAAAACGAAGTACATCTAAGAGACGTCCTTGGTGTTGTAATTTCAAAAATCGAAGAGATAAAGACTGAAAACTTTTTCCAGGAATATGTCGAAGGTTCGGTGCTGCTGCCATACCAATCGCCTTTTCATCCACTTGATCCCATGGTTGTAAACTCTTTCGTCTTGCATTGCATACATTACACTTCTTGTAGTGTTTCTGCATCCATGGCTGCATACCACGAATCTCATTTCGCATTACAAAGACAATACCTGTGCTGCGGGAAATCACACTATTGTGTGAGAGTCCTGTTGACTTTTTCCCTGACGACGGCGTGACGGCCTGCGTGGCGGCTGTACTCAATCGATCCAGCAGTGTGTCCCCCGTCAGTGTGGCCGCCTTTCTCTTCGCCTGCACATCGCCGAGAATCGCATCCACCACTGCACTGCCCGTGTTGAATGTAATCGCGTTGTTAATATTATTATTATTATTATTATTATTATTATTATTATTATTATTATTATTATTATTATTGGCTGCGAGAGATTCACCGCGGGCCATGCGTAGTTTCGTTACGCGGGTGACGAGTTCCTGAAACATTTGTTTTTGGTCTTCGAGAACACTCTTTAGTGTCTCGCGCTGCCGGCCCAACGCCTCCATCGCCTCGCGATGTTGCCGCTCCGCCTCGCGAATCGCCTCCTGCAACTCCGCCACTGAAGTCATTGGAGAAACGTACAAGAGAAATAATAAGAAAGAAATCCAAAAAAAAAAGCCCCAAAAAAGGGGGTGTATGAATGTTACTTAATATTGGATTTAACTATAATGGTGGGATGAATGTAGTTTTAATCAACCCTTTCTTTCTCACTGTATATATATATATAAATATGTCTATGCACGTGAAGGGAAAAAAAAGGGCTAGGAAAAGAGAAAAGTTGAAAGGAGAAATAGATAACAAAAGTCAGCAGTAGAATCACTACTCAAGGAAAGAAAAGAGTTAATTTCTCAACAATTCAGCTCAAGGTGTGTGAAATCAATAAAGAAAAGTCTCCTCCATGGGTGGACACATCACATACATACACACACACACACACACACACACACACACAGACTGTCAAAATATAAAACCAAATTAGAAAATGGTAAATCACTAGAAATTGGTAATTCTTATCCATACTCTTTTTAAACTTGAAACCAAACACAGGGAATAATAACCAAAGAAGAAAAAAAAAAAAAGAAAAAAAAAAGTATTAGCCATTAAGTACAATCCTTCTTTAATCAACACCCAAACACACACACGCCGTATAGTTCTGACAGAAAAACAAAGGGGAAAAAAGCTCACATAGCCACACCATCTCTATCAAACTACACACAAAAGGACTTGTTCCTCACACAGCTCATCCGTCAAAAGGAAAACAGAGATCATTCCACAACATTTTAATACAATCTTTTCTCTCATAACTTCATTTGTAGAGACTTAAACAGTGTGTCCACACATCAAAAGAGATGAGACAGAAAAGGGGGAAAAAAAAAGCAAAAACAATTCTATTCAAGCTATTCTTATGTACCAAACAAAGGAGGACTTCAGAACCCTAGTTTGTATTTTCTTAATGGATTTTTTAAACTTCCTACATTTTGACATGATTTTAACGCCAAAAGAGGGGGAGAAAAAAAAGGTGTATTATATAAAAGAAATAAAGTATTGTTGTTCACTAACTGACTTCCGACCAACCATACAACTATATATATATATATATATATATATATAAATGGAACTTTTTATAAGTTAATCGGTTGTTTTTCGTCATAGTTACTATTCCCACTCACCTTCCATCAAGATGACTCCGTGGACATTTGCAAAAAAAAAAAAATCCTGCAAACTACCATGGTGAGAAAGTTAGCAAGAAGAGGTTCTTAACCACAAAAGCCTAGCTCATCATATATCAATAGAAACACTTTATCAACCTTCTTGAACGTGTATGAAAGCTATAATGAGAAAAATAAAACAGAAAGGAATAGGTAAAATGACAACAAAATAAATAAAAAAATAATAATAATTTTTTGTATATATTTATTTACACCTCACCATGACAAGCATTGAGTGTTTTCACTATATGGATAATCCACAAAAAAAAGGAAAAAAGGAGCGTCAAATAAGGTTTATAATAAGGTTAAACTAAACTTCGGTTCGCGTCACGTTCTCAATTTTGTAGAGCAAATATATATATAAAGACTTGATATAACATCCGTAGACCAGAAAAATAAGTGTAACGAATGCACAGAGAGTCAACAAAAAAAAAAAAAAGAAAACTAAGAAAAAAGAAGAAAAGAAAATAAATACCAAACAAGAAAAGGAAAAAAAGAGGGAAGAATCACGCAATAATGCGAATGAATTTTATACCCTACCAAATAATAATAATAATACTGATAATAATAATAATAATAATAATAATAATAAAAAGGAGAACAAAGACTCAATCATTTCGTATCCCATGATCTAGTCTCTGCATCTGGGTTTTTCTGAAGTGGATTCAACTTCAATCGCCAATATTTGTCAAATTCAGAAGTGACACGCTTTAGTCCCTCCTCCAGTGTGTCTGTAGTAGTGTCAAAACTCACAATGCCTCCCTTGAACTTTATATCGGATAGAAAGCGGAGTTTCTCCTCTAATGATGACTGTGTCTCCACACGGGCCTTGGCTTCCACCTCACTCACACCATCACGTTTCATTACACGTTTAATGGCAACATCCCTGTTACATTCTGTAATCCACATATCGTCGCAGAATGTCATTAAGCTACTTTCGACGAGGAGTGCAGCTTCTAGAATAATAAGTAGTAGATTTTTATTATTTGATAAAGCGTTATTAGAGACCTTTTCAATTTCTTCCTCAACCGCTTCATGAATATAGGGCCAACAGATATTACTAAGCTTCTCTAGTTCCTTTGAACGTGGTTCGTGGAATACAATTGCGCCAAGTTTCTTTCTATCAATTGGAGGTTCACTGCAACTAGGTGAAGCGGTAGCCAGAGTATTATTATTATTATTATTATTATTATTATTATTATTATTATTATTATTATTATTACTTTCAAGAGGTTCTGTCAATATCTGTTTTCCAAATGCATCTATGACGGCGTAATAACACGGCATTCCTGGGGTGTAGATGTTATGTCCAATGATGTCTGCATTAATATTGTGCGTGGCAAAGGAATTGACGGACTGCCGCGATCGGGCCTCTGCAAGTCGGAGCAAATGTTGACAGCGTACAGACTTTCCGCTGGCAATACCACCGGTCACACCGAGCACCACCACGCGGGGTAAGAACGCGACTGAGAAAAGTCTGCGAGATGAGTGCAACATCTAACCATGCAGGGGGTATAATATAATCTGTGACCCATTGATGGAGAGAATGGAAAAGAAATTAAAAAAAAAAAAAAAAAAAAAAAAAA